TGTTCGTGCTCCGTTGCCGGTCTGTCGCAAAGGGGGTATCGACTGGTCAAATTGGAACAAAATGCTTCCCAGGTTCTTCCCAAAAATCGATGTGTCAAGTGTTGAACTACAGTGGGCGGACTGGGTGAAGATAATGAAGCCTCGATACAGGGATCGCTGGCTTGATAACGGTATTTATCAGGCCATCACTTGCTCCGTCATTCAACCACATGCCGATTCTCCTCTTCTAGGTTCGGCCCTGGTCGTTTGGAATAGTGCTTCCAACACCTTCGATTTTGGGGTCGGGCCTATGTCGATCTCCATCCTTGATCTCGCCGTGATTTTTGGATTTTGACCGCATGGGCGGAGTGCTGATTGGTCGGGGGACTTTGAGGATGGCCCTTCTCAGGAGAAGGAGAGAAAGAAGAACCTCGAGGTTCTTATCAGTTTGATTGGTTCTAATCGGGCTTATGGGGCTTTCATGGGGACTTTTATGGATCAGGCAATTGACTATCCAGATGGGGAGCATGTGATGTTCCTGTTATACTGGTTGAACAGGTTCATCTTCCCTAGTGCTTCCAATTGTATCACCATGGAGTGGCTCCATTTGGCTGAAGGCTTGTCTTCTTATAGGGACATTGCCACTGGCCCCTTGATTCTGGCCTCCATTTACAGAGCCTTGAGGGAGGCGACAATGGAGCCCATCAATCTAAACGTGAAGGGACCCTTATGGATGGTTCAGGTCTGGCTTCAGTGGACTTTTCATGAACTGCGGGCCCGAAAGCTGCGGGTTGCTTCTAACACCGTGCCTTTGAGGGAATTATGGTTAAGCACTGCTTCTGGTAAGACCACTGAAGAGTGTTTTACCTTCTTTTTATGTCAGAGGACTAGGCATGTTTTCCAGTGGCTGATGAATCTGAAAAGGGGTTCGCCTTAGTTCGAGACTCGATCAATCTGCCAAGGTCCTCGAAGTGGCAGAGCCCCCTTGGCTTTTGAGAATATGGACATTTTCTCCTGCCTGCAAACGCGTGACTTGCCCTGTGGTGGGAGGATGGACTCCAGAAACTACCAATATGGGGTAGAGGCCTACAGTCCTCAGTTTTTCAGCAGACAATTTGGATGCCCCCAAGTGATCCCTAAATTGGACTATTCCCTGATTAATAAGGGTTCGTCCTACAGATTCCCCAAGCTAAGTAAGGATGATCTCTTGGGCGTTCGAGCCAAGATTAGAGAATCAGCCCGAATTCTGGAGTTGAGGCCTTATGATCCTGACTGCTGCTGTACTCAATCCTTCCAAGTCTGGTGGGATCATTGTTTAAGCAGGTATGGGCCCCTGCATGAGGCGTATCCGAGAGCTTTCAAGAACTGTCCCTTTCGGAGGGATCTCAAGATCGAAGACAGACGGATTTTACTTGAACAAATTGCGGAAAATAACCAGCTATCCTTAACTGGTAAGAGTCTTGCTTTTGTCCTTTTTTCTTAACTTAGGCGTAATTATTTCTATTTCCCAATGCAGTTTCGGTCAACTATCAGTCCATCTGCACGCCCAGCCAGTTGACCACCTTAGGGCAGGGAATTGCTGGTGGACTGAGGACCCCTGTTGCCGTTCAGCGAAAACAGAAGGAAAGAGCTCCCATTTCTCTCGCTCCGCAGGCCGGTGGTAATCTTCCATCCTCTTCTCCCCAAGGTAAAAATAAAAAAAATAAAAAATTTGCCTCTTGGATAGACCAATTTGCCTCTAAATTCTGGTCCGATTATTGGTTAAACAGGTGTTCGTGTGGCTGCCAAGAAGAGGTCTCAGCCAGAAGAAGCTGGGAGTGGTGTGAAAGAAAGGGTTCAGCCCAAAGTGGCCTCAAGCAAGCGGGCCAAAGTTTCTTCTGTTGAGGCTCCTGGAGCTGCTCCGGCAGGCCTCTAAATTTCCTTGATTTGCCTCTATTTTCTTTCTGGGTTTACTTATTCTTCTGATTCTTTTTTTGGAGGTTCCTGTTTCTTCTTCTCCTCTGATTGTTCCGCCGTCAAGCACTGTTTTTCCCAGTGATGGGTCCGAGGGAAGAGTTGCTGAAGTTGTTTCTGCTGCTGAGGTAAGTGATGACCGTTTTTTTTTTTTTTTTTAAAGATATTAAAATATATAGAAACAACACTAATACATGGTTCCTTAGGTTGCTGGGCCGGTCCCACAAGTGGAGGAGGCCCAAAGTAGAGGCACAAGTGGGGTGGACAATCGAAAAAAGGTATGGTCCGAATAAACGCCTCTGCATAATGATTCTTGGGAAGTATCTTCTGACATGTGGATTTGTTGCAGGTAGCTTCATCTTCTTCCATTCCAACTGAGACTATTAGTCCTGACAAGGAGGTGCCCGAAGAAGCTACCCCTATGACGAAAAGCCCTACAGCAGAAACTCTGGCCGAGAAGAATGACCAAGGAGGGAATGCCCCTCATAATGATGCCCCCCGAGCCCAAGAAGATTCACCCAAGGTGCCGGCTGCCACATCTACCACTGAACCTACCTTTGGTTCTGCGCATGTGAAGGCACCAGGAGACTCAGGTACTGGGAGTTCTGACAGCACCTTCATTTCTAATGCAAGAGCGAAGATTTTGCTAGGGAAGTGGCTAGCGCTGCCTTTGGAAGATAAAGTGGCGGACGAGCAAGGTGCCAAAGTTCTTAGCGCTTTAGACTC